ATCTTTTAAAAAAGCACTATATCTGTTTTTTTAAAAAGATGACCAGGCCGGGACCGGTTTGGCTCAGTGGATAGAGCGTCGGCTTGGGGACTGAAGGGTCCCGGGTTCAATTCCGGTCAAGGGCATGTACCTTGGTTGCGGGCATATCCCCAGTAGGGGGTGTGCAAGAGGCAGCTGATTGATGACTCTCTCTCATCGATGTTTCTAACTCTCTGTCTCTCTCCCTCTCTGTACAAAATCAATAAAATATATTTAAAAAAAAAAAAAGATGACCAGGATTGATGAGGATTAGTTGAAAATGGCTTGTAAAGTAAGAATAACATAATATGATTCATTATAATCCTCATAATAATGTATCAATAATATGGTTATAAACATATACTTATTTTCAGTTTTTATTTTCCATGATGTTTTATTTTTTGTTAGAAATAAACATGTAATAACAAAAAACGTTTGAATCCCAATTTCAATATCCAACAGTTCTGAGACCCAGTTTCAATGTCAAATAGTTCCTTATGTGTACATGTCAGCAATGATATCTGGATGATGGACAGATGGTGGCAATGCAGGTCAGACCCTCTCTGGTTTGGTCCTGGGCAACCTGCAGCAATGACAGCTGCTGACTGCTAGCGTGGCCAGGCGTCCTCAGGGTCTTCTGTGTCTGGGCTGTTTCTCCTCTTGTCTTCGTGTTTGGAGCAGACCTGACAACTCCTCTCTGTTGCAGGAATCCCCACGGTCTTGGAGTAGTTTTCTGAAAACATATTCTCGGCCAAAAGTTAATAAAGGCATCTTTTCTATAAAGTTGACTTGGGATCCTTTTTATTTTTGCCCAAATGATTTCCCCTTGGCTTATTTTGACACCATGTGTGATTTTCATGGGTGTCTTGCTGTTAGCCATGATGATGTTTTATTTAAAATGATGACTTCACCATAAATCATTGAAATCAATATTTTTTATAATACAAATTAATTAACCCAGTCAGAAATTCAGAATCGCAATTTAATATTTGTTAGAAATCTTTGCATCATTATCTTTCCCAGTCCCATACGGTATTTCTGTTAATGTCTAGTGATCTAAATCTTAAGAATGGGCACCACCCAATGTGGGTATCTGTTATTCTGGTACTATAGTTATGATCCAGATAATTGGAAGTGATGACATCTGTAACAAAAAAAAAAAAAAAAAAAAAAAGCTTCTCTTGGTGAAAGACCTGCATATAAAAGTCACACTAAAGTGTCTACAATCCAATTCATCAGCTTTCTCAAGTTTACTCAACTTTAAGAGAGCAGCAGCTGATAATATACCTGAAAGATATTGTCCTAAGACATAGTGTGGTGAGTAACCTTTAGTTTCTCTTTTAAATCTCATGTAAGATATTTTTTTATATTCTAGGAATTATTTGATGTGTATAATTTTCTACAAATAGTATGCTGTTGTTCAAGTTACAGTGTGAAAGGAGGGTTTGAGTTATGTTTAATATAAAATTCCACAACACAAAGTAAATTTATGCTACTAAAATACTCTGAAATTATTTATTTTTGTAATGAAAGTTTTTGAGGGGCTTTGCTTTTCCTAAAATTATCCAAAATTACACACAAAATATTATAATTTGGCATCATATGCTTGAATGATATCTTACTGAAATTTTGAAATAAAACAGACTAATGAGGAATAAATCATACTAATTTAAATAACCAATATAAATTTATTAAATTGAGATAATAGTCCATTTTTCCTGCAGACTAGCCTTATCAAACTGTTTGTTTTATGACTCCCAGAGAACTCAAGTTTTATACTAGAGCTGGAAATTTTTTTTTACTGCTGAATATATATTTTTTATTCCTTTTAATAATGTTTTTTTCTAATTTTCTATTCTGAAAACTGTGCATGAATTGTAAGGGTATTGTACACCCAGCTTTTCAGCTTTTTCATGACATTCTTGTAAGAAGCTTGTCTTCATTAGGAATAGGAAACAAAGCAGAGATGTCTGACGTCACTAGGTGAATGTGATAGAGCTAAGATTAGACACCAATTCTGCTGTCTTCTAACTCAGTACCTTTTAAAATATCATGAACCAAAATTGAAGTGTATGTTTTGTTACTCCATCAATAGCTTTATATTGCACAGGGAAGCTTTATATAGTATAGTGAAAATAAATGCGATAGATCATATTGCTTATACTACTTCTTTTTATCTTAAACTGTATCCAGCTTTATTAAAGATGCTTTTCATAAGCAATCATGATATTTCAGATAGGATATGGACAGACAATCATTAACAATATACAACTTTCTATTAATAACTCCTTTCTTCAATGAACTACTAAAATCAGAAAGCCACCATATAACCCAGTGAAGTCTTCACCTGATGCTCTGAATAGGGAAAGTTTAGAAGTGGTATAAGAAACAGAGCAGTGTGAGGAGGCAAGATGGACCATGGACCAAGCAAAGCCCATGTGCTGTTGCATCCCCTGCATTCCAGTTGGATGTCCTGCCACCATCACCATCATATCCAAGAGAAAGGCTGAAGGAGATACTAAAGGAGATAAAGCCAAAGTTTACCGTGAGGGTTGACATTTCACACTGAGCATGTTGTTTAACAACTTTTCTTTTCACAAGGCAACCCTGACTTTCAGGAAATGAAATGAAACTGGCAGAGAATATCAATCTGTACATCCACAATCAAGAAAGGAGCTGCTGCTCTTTTGAGGGAGGCCATCTCAATGGTGACACTGGAAAGTTCAGATTGCCCAACATATTGGAAATCAGTTTTTTGGGGTCAGGTCCCAATAGGTCTCTAGGCTTTAAGAATGCCAAGTCTATGCTTAATGTGGAGAGGGAGAAAAGGACATAAAAATGAATTTTAGTTTCCCACACGATTAGATATTTGTGTCAAAGTGGCTAATGTGTATCAATATCAAGAGATCCCTCCTCCCAGGAACCAAGAGGAAGTTCCTCAAAACTAGAAGGGAAAAGTATTTATCCTCCCTCGCCCCCATGTCAGTCCAGCTTTGGATATAGTCTATTAGTACTATATGTCCTTCCCCCCAAAATAACAATGAAGTGTTCTGTGTGCTAACAACATAGCTTAAAAAAAAAAAAGTAAAACAAAATTCTGCATTTCTATAAAACTTGATAAAAAATAGTATTTCTAACTGTACAGTCACCAGAAATACACAGTTATAAAAAATGCACACACTTCACTTGGCATCTCCAGCACCTTCAGCTTTCAGTGCCTGGTCTGTTTTGGCATCTCCATTTTCTGCAGGGTTATTCTCATCTTTGCCAGCATCAGCCTTCCCTTTTCCCTTTGGTACCTTCTGTCCCTTCTTTGCAGGGGCCTCTTAGACTTGGGCTCTGGCTTTGGAGGTGCAGGTTTAGCTGATAACCTGGCAGATCTTCTCTGTGATTTGTCCTTCACCTTGGTTTTTATCTCCTGAAGCATCCCCTTCAGTCTTTCTCTTGTGCTTGATGGTGACGGTGGCAGGAAGTCTGACTAGAATGCAGGGGATGCAGCAGAGGGTGGGTTTTGCTTGGTCCGGGGTCCATGTTGCCTCCTCACACTGCTCTGTTTCTTATATCACTTCTAAATGATGCCACCACTTCAAAAATAAATAAATAAAGCTATATATATATATATATATATATATATATATATATATATATATGCCTAAGCGACCAAAAAATCAAACAACTGGTTGACTGGATTGTTATGACATGCACTTACCACAAGGGGGCAGATGCTCAAAGCAGAGCTGTCTGCTGATGGTCACTGCACTCCCACAGCCAACCTTCCAAGGCAGCCAACCTTTCGCAGCCCCTCCCCCCAATCTCCAGCCAAGCCAAGGGATTCCCCCATGCACCAATTCATGCACTGGGCCTCTAGTTTTCCTTTAAAATATGAGTGCATAGTAGTGACACTATGGAATGTTAAAACAGAGACATTAAGCACTAAGAAAAAGTACTTCTATAGTAATAGACTTTGCAATTATTGAAGTGCAGATTAAGATAAGACTGTTTATTTTGAGATGAAAAGCTAATGAGCAAAAGAGGAAAGTGCTAAAAATTATACTCAGACCAGATAGTTTTAGAAGAAGCTGAAGAAAAAAGAAATAAGCATTTTATATGAAGCCAAAGCTCTAAATTCTTACAATTAATTAGATGATTTTTAAATACTTTGACACACTTTTAAATGGTAGAAGTATGCATTAAATTAGTAAAAATATCTCTAAATCAGAGTCTACTAATTTGGTATTTATGATGATTATTGCAGTACCTGAAATGACATTGACTTATGAAAAAGAAATTTTCTTAGTAAATAAACAGTGTTAATAATTTACCTAAGTAAGAGAATTAGCCATTTTCCAAGCAAATTATAAGCACTTAATCATAAGCAACATAAAACGCAGGAGGAAAATCTAAAAAGTAAGCATTTTTATTCCTCATGTGGCTTAAAATTCATATAATAAAACTTGCACAAGAAGTCTCAAAAAGGTACCTTAAAAGTAAAACTAATTTACCAAGAATGTAAAACTAATCTCTCTAATTTCTAAGTCAAATTATGTGTATATATAATACATATTAATGTATCAGTAAAATAAAGAGGCTGGCCGTACCTGGTTTGTCTCGTTGGGTAGAATGTGGGCCTTGGGACTGAAGGGGCCTGGGTTTGATTCCAGTTAAGGGCACAGGTCTGGGTTTGGGGCTTACTACCAAATAAGAGGAATGCAGGAGGCAACCAATCAATGATTCCCTCTCATTATTGACGTTTCTATCTCTCTCTTCCTCTCCCTTCCTTTCTGAAATCAATAAAAATATTTTTTTTTTAAAAGGAGGCTGATTCCAAAAGTCCTCCATGAAAACCAATGCAATTAAGTTGCTATACCACTCTGTGTACAGTCGTGTAGTTAGAAATGTAAACTGCTAAGTTTAATTATGAAGTTTGTAATAGTAAAAATATTTTTTAAATACCTGCCATTTGCTTTTCCTTTTTAGTGAAGATGATGTCTGCAAAAGACATGGTTAAAGTAATGATCGTCATGTTTGCAATTTGCTTTTTTGCAAAGTCAGATGGGAAACCCATTAAGTAAGTACCGTTTCTTGTTCTGCATGGCGAGGACCTGGGGATTGGAATTTTAGGGCTGGCTTTATGAAGGGAAGAGGAGAGCTAATGGAGTGGCTTCTCTGTTTCTGTTCCCTACAGAAGATCTGTGAGTGAAATACAGCTTATGCATAACCTGGGTAAACATCTGAATGCGATGGAAAGGATGGAGTGGCTAAAGAAGAAGCTGCAGGATGTGCACAACTTTGTTGCCCGCGGAGCTTCTATAATTCCCAAGGATGACGTTTCCCCGAGGCCCCGGAGGAAGGAAGACAATGTCCTGGTTGAGAGCCATCAAAAAAGCCTTGCAGAAGCAGACAAAGCTGATGTGGACGTGTTAACTAAGGCTAAACCCCAGTGAAAACACATCTATCAGAGCACTGCTCCAGACAGCCTAGGGCAACAATATTACATGCTGCTAATGTTTCCACCCTCTGTTATGATCATCACCAAGTACCAATATTTCTGATATCACAAAACTTTACATGTAATCCATTGCTAACCATGATAGCTATCATTTAATTGATTATGTTGATTTTATTTTTATTCAAGAGTCTTTTAATTATTTTGTTTCTGTGTCAACTAGACTGTTTATTCCTTTTAAAGTATGTTATTGCATAATTTATAAAAGTATAAAACTGCCTTCTTTAAACTCTCTCTCACTTTACAATGCAAAATAAAAATTTAATGATCATGATTCTAAAAGAGTGATGTTAAGTATTTTTCACTTGTTATAAGAATATCTTTTTGGTTATAAGTAATACGAACATGCTTAAATGGATCATGACTAGGAAGAACAACATAAAATGGTCTTATTTCCAGTTTTATTGAAAAATAATGGACATTCATCCCTATATAAGTTAAAGGTGTACAACATGATGGTTTGATTATATTTTGAACATCATCCTTTTAATATTATCAAAGTAGCAGGTCTCCAAATCTTACTAGCTAGATACTATTGTCCTCTTCATTTCAGGAAAGATAATGAAATACTCAGAAAGGGAGAAAGTGATTTGAAACTTGAATGCAAAAGCATTTGCCTATACACAAACCTACTGATCATATTTCTAGTCTGAACTTCAAATTTCATGGAATAGAGTTTTTGTATATTTTAGAATATAATTTCATTTATTTGTCATTTGACACATATCTATTTAGGGTCTGTTACTTGCCATGTACCATATTAGGCACTGGATGTACACTGGTAAGCAAAATAGACACAGTTCTTGTCTTCACAAGGCCAATAATTTAGTATGGAAGACCGACATTAATTCATTATTAACTTTGTAAGTGCTATAAAAGCAAAGCACTTTAGGAATGTAAAATATGCAGCTCTGATCTACTTAGGTCAATACTGTTTAACACAACTGTCTGTGATGATGGAAATGTTCTGTATTCTGTGCTGTCCAATACCATAGCCACATATGCATTTAAAATGTGCATATGGTGCCCAGATGGCTTCATGCAGCCACAATCTCCACTAGTTTTTACAACCAGAAGTTATGGGGACTTCTCTCCCTGGTACTGGAACTCTCTTTTGGGAGGCCTGATGTGGGACTATGATCCCTCACTCCTTAGGGATGAGCTTCACAAACAAGAAATCCCTCTGGATTTTTATCCACCACAGGTGTGTTTGGTGTCTTCGCCCCTCCTACCAGTCTCAATGTGGCTTCTTCTTTAATTCCCTATATGCAGGACTTCCAGTCAGCTAGATTCCAGGTAGTTCTGAATAACGGTTGTCCTGTAATTTTAATTTAGTTGTAATTTTGATGTGTTTATGGGAGGATTGGCATACCACATTTACCTATGCCACCATCTTGACTAGAAGCACTTTACTTTTATTACTGTATATACAAAATCATGTATAAAATATAAATGTATATTTTCAAGAAAAAATATATAATGAACACTATTACTCACTATTCAGATTATAAAATAGAATATTGCCAGTATCTTAGAAATTCCTTCTTTGCCCTTCTCAGTCACATCCCTGTTTGTCCTAGCTTCCTTTTTATATTTATCATTATTCTCTTTTTCTTTTCTTTTCTTTTTTCTATTTCCTTCTTTTTCCCTTTCTTTTTTATTTATTTTAATTTAATTAATTAATTTATTAATTTATTTATTTATTGTTTTCCCTTTCTTTTAAAATATATTTTATTGATTTTGTACAGAGAGGAAGGGAGAGAGATAGAGAGTTAGAAACATCGATGAGAGAGTCATTGATCAGTTGCCTCTTGCACACCCCCTACTGGGGATATGCCTGCAACCAAGGTACATGCCCTTGACCAGAATCGAATCCGGGTCCCTTCAGTCCCCAAGCCAACGCTCTATCCATTGAGCTAAACCGGTTTTGGCCTCCCTTTCTTTTAAATCCTCACTCAAGGATATGTTGAGAAAGAGAGAGAGAGAGAGAGGTATAAAGAGAACCATTCATCAGTTGCCTCCCCTACACACCCAGCTAAGATTTTCTTGCTTCTCTTTATAAAATATCAAGATTCCTTGATTAGATTAGTCTAAAATCATTTTTTTTTGTTTGTTTGTTAATACTCACCTGAGGATTTTTTTCCATTTTTTTTCCTGGGAGAATAGAAGAGAGAGAAGGAAGGAGAGAGAGAAACATTGATGTAGAGAGACACGTCAACTGGTTGCCCCCTGCATATACTCCAATTGGGGGCAGGGAGCAAACCCTGAAACCCAGGTATGTGCCCCTGACTGGGAATTGAGTCTGAGATTTTTCTGTATGGAGGCCAATGCTTAACCACCGAACCACCTGTCTAGGGCTCTAATATATATTTTTTAATGTATTTTATTGATTTTTTTACAGAGAGGAAGGGAGAGATAGACAGCTAGAAATGTTGATGAGAGAGAAACATCGACCAGCTGCCTCTTGCACACTCCCTACCTGGGATGTGCCTGCAACCAATGTACATGTAGGGCTCTAATATTTTTTAAATGTATGTTTTTGTATAACATGGACTCTATCTTTCTAGCTCATGATATTTATTTTCTCACCATCCACTATAGTTAATCCCTGCTTCATATTTTTAGGTTCTTGTTAGTGTTTAACATAAAGGTACTCATTTCTGAATTAGTTAAGGGGAACAAATTGCTGTGACAAATGTATAGCCACCTAAATAAAATAGAAATAATTTTTTTCTATCTCTGACTTCCTATAGCACATTATCTCTATCTCCCTATAACAGTTTTCCTTTTATTTGTTACTTAATTACATAGCTCATTTATGCCAGTAGAACCTGTATATTAATGATGTTTGTATCTTCCCTAATGTTCTTACCCAGGGTCTTAGCCAATATTTGCTGAAGAGTCCTTTTTGTGTGAATATTATTTTCATGTTCCTGCCATTAGGTGGCAGTGCTCAAATCTTATAGTACAAAGAAATCCCAAATTTTAATGCAAAGAGGATTCTGGGTTTGTGATTTATATTATTAATTTGTTGAGAAAGTATTCAACCAAAAGTCTATCCTATCCGCTGCTGTGAAACAATCTTGAGTTAGCATGCTATGAGGTCCAAAGATATAGACAAAGAAGCTTGTTTGCGCGCTTCTACATGAAACATTTTGTTTCTGTTAAATTGGAAATTCCATATTGACCTCTTTGGTACATGCATTGATACTGTGGAAGGAAGACTTTCATTAAGGGTCTTTCATTCAGTTAGCATTTACAAATTATTGTGCAGAACAGTTTGTGATGGTGTGAATCAACGGCATTACCTATTGGATATATAGCTGCTACCCATGCTTCCAAATTAATATCAGTATTTGAAAGGTTAACTTTCCTTTTAAAGCAGCTAAAACTTTATTTTTAGCTTCTCTCTCTCTCTTCCTCTCTCTCTCTCTCTCTCTCTCTCTCTCTCTCTCTCTCTCTCTCTCTCTCTCTCTCTCTCTCTCTCTCTCTCTCTCTCTCTCTCTCTCTCTCTCTCTCTCTCTCACACACACACACACACACACACACACACACACACACACACACACTCTCACTCACTCACTCACTCACTCTCTTTAAGGAATCACAATGAAATGAACTACTAGTATAAGTCCCTCACAGCAAGATAAAATAATTTGACTGGATTCTGTCATAGACAAAGTCTCTGTATTTTAATTTGACTGGATTCTGTCATAGACAAAGTCTCTGTATTTCATCTAAAATTTCTGGCTGATATAATTTTTCCAGAGTTTTCTGAAAAATTCCTAAATCTTGGATTAGCACTTAGGAATTATGCAAAGCGGAACACCTGACTGGCCCACGGCAGGGTTAGAACTACTTCGTTTGTTTTTTCTTCTTAAGTGTTGGGTTTATTTGTGGAAGAGTATGGTGAGCCAAATAAAACTATAGTATACATAAAATATAAGTAGTATTATGAAAAAAAAGTGTCTAAAGGGAGATTGGTGTTAACTATATACAGGAATAACATACTTTTTTTTTTTAATGTTTTCTATTTTGATATAAGAAATATTTCCTGTTTGACAGACCTCACTAACCCTAACTTTCACAAGATCTCCCTTGATCTTATTTTATAGAAGAAAATTTTGATCATTAATCAAGATTGGTGACGTTGCCGCCTGAGGATTTAAAAAAATTTTCTCCATGAGATTACCTGTATTGCAACATTTCTGTTTAGATCGCTCTTCTTAGAAATCTTCAAAGATTACTGACAATTTCCAAGTTAGCAGAAGGTTGGCAATAACAACAACTTGCTGTAGTAGGATAATAACCTGTTTCCCTTGGATAGGGCTGATACCAAGGTGTCCTTCGACGAGGAAGAGACGATTTACTACTCTATATTGTTCAACTGTTCATCTCAGTATAAATGCTGCTTTGGAAAACACTATGGTTATCCCACACGAGGGAGTCTGGGAGATTCAAAGCTGTTGTTTTTAAATAAAGTTCCGTTTTCAAACCAAATAAGCCGGCTCTCTTCCTCTTGGCTACCTCAGCTTGCAAAGCCCCTCCTCTCGCTCTTCTAAAAAACTGGGTATCTCTTACTCATCCTTCAAGATTCAGCTCACATGTCCCTCCTGGTGGCGACTTCCTCTACGTGGCAGGTGGAGGGGGTTACTCCCTCCGCTCCCACAGCTCACCGGGAGCAACTCAGCCTATGGGATGATCACATGTATGGGATCATCTGTTTTCCGGCGGATTACCTGTTTTCGGGTGAGAACTTGGAGGGAGGAGACCGTGTCTTTTTTTTTTTTTTTTTTTTTTTTTTACCTTTCCCCTCGTTTGCACAGCCCGGCGCTTGGCACACAGTAGGTAAAGTTGAACGGCTGAAACTATTCCTTGGCGACTTTCTGCCCCCCGGGAGCATATACTTCACTCATCTAAGCTCCCCGACCGGCGGCG